GTATGGCAAGACCCTCAGCAGCATGATCACGGTAAGCCACGAGTTTCAACTCTAACAGCAGGTAGTTATGCAGACATTATTGGGAGACCTGAATGCTGTGATAGATGTCACAAGTGTCTGTCCCCTCCTAGGGGGGACCAGGAACTTTCACTGGTAACCCTGGAGTGTATGCATCACACGGCAAGGAGGCAACATGGATAGAGCCAGGGGGGAAGGATGCAGGTGCAGGCAACGCATGGTGACCAAATCATGGTGGACTCTCTGTGTTTGGCCCAGGCAGCTGGCTCTGCATCTGGGTTATGGTCACCCCTTTGTAAACTCATTAAAGTCATGCAGAAGGAGCTATATCCAAGGTGTCAGTGATGGTAAATAGTTTAGTGGGAACCAAGGCCCCCACTCCATCTAGATTGAGTCCTAGCAGCAAAATTTTAAGGACATAAATTGGATGAGCTCCAGTGAGTTACCTAACCAGGTTCCACTTAGTGAAAGCTCCAGAGTCTTCAAATGCAGAATGATTGTTACACTGCTATAACCAGGAGACAAGCAGCTCATCTAGTGATTAATGCAAACTGAGGCCTTGACAATTTCATTAGCAGAAGTCAAATCAAGACAAATAAGTCCCCAAGCCTTCATTGGCTACCAAGTCAAGTTGCTGGTACAAATGTTGACTGTTAACTACATTTTCCAGGCAACACACAGTTACCATACAAGTGGGTGGTCCTCTGCATCTGTGGACACCACATCTGTGTATTCCAGCCACAGAGGATCAAAAATATTTAGGAAGAAACTGCATATATATGGAACATGTGCAGAGTTATATCGTTGTCATCATTCCCTAAGCAATTAGTATATAAGCATTATGAAGCATTTCCAATGGTATAAGTAGTTAAGTAACCTAGAAATGATTCAAAGAATGTGTGTAGGTTACAGGTCATTGCACTTGAGCAGGTACAGATTTGGGTATCTGAGGGGGTTTCTGGAATCCATCCTCACATTCACCAAGGAACAACCACATATTTACAAAAACAATTCTGTTCCACAATGTTTTAGGATGGGGCAGCAGGAAGGCAGGGATGTGAGGAGGGCTGGAATGATTCTTGGTGCCATTGTAGACATCCCAGCCAGCCTGGGCAGGAGACAGGAGGGCCAAGTACAGGCCAGCTGGCTGCTGCTGTGTCACCACAGACCATCCAAGCTCATTGTCGTGATGTCTTTCAACTATTCATGGTAACACAAGACAGTGGAGAGAGTCCTATTCCTTCTCAGCATTCCAGTTAGATAGGGCTCTGGCCACATTTCTGAAAAACAAAAACACTGTTAGGTAAAAATGAACACTTCCACCTGCCTAAAATGAAGCCCCCATGGCAGAAAGAGACCCAGCAGGTTCACGATTGCAGAATCAAAATACAGCTGTTTATCCAGCAATACCTGAAGCCAGTCCTCTCTGATTTGTGCCTAATATCACTGAAGAAAATTCAGCTGCAGTTGTGACTAAGTTGGCTAACTACTTTTGAGTGTCAATTATTTTCCATAGATGTCATCAAAACAAAAATGTTTTCCAACAGAGATACCAATGCTAAAAACGCCCATGTAGAAATTAATGGGAAATACACGAAAATTCCATATACAATATATATATTTGAAAAAGTAAACAAAAATGAATAGTTTTCCCAAAAAAGAGAAGTTTAAAATCAACAAGGAAAATGTTCCTAAATTGTCAAGGAAGAGATAATTTCCATGGAATGTAAACTGCTCCAAAGTGAAACAGAACTCACTCCAGCCCCATCCCTGCTAGTCCAAACCAGGCCCTGTCCAGGTGTGGCACTGGGCACCAGCCTTCAGCTTTGGCCCTGAACTGCACTAGCAGCCACTGAATAAGTGATGGATCACATAGAATAAGCATATGTCTGGGAGCTCCTGGGTCCTGAGTGAAGGGGTGGAAGAGCCCCATGGCAGCTGATGGAGTAAGGAACACTTACACAGCTTCCTGGTGTAAACCATAACTGTCTCTGTGATTCACTTCCCACCACCATCCCCCAGGTAGTTGGTGAGGGACTCAAAAGGTGACACAAAGGAATCCTCCAGAATGAAGAACAAGAAAGGTGACATAACCTGGATCCCTTGAAGGGGCAGACCCTACCCAGGGAGCACAACCCTCTGTAATCATGACAGGAGCTGCTCTTGAGAGTCAGCCCAAGGTCACCAACACCCCCTTCTAACCCTCTTGTGCCTCCTGCCCTCAGGATGACACCAGTGGTGACTACAAGAACGCCCTCCTGAACCTGGTGGGCAGTGACCCATGAAGTCACTGAAGAATGAGAGCCAAGACCAAGAAGCAGGGGTCTCCAGGCCCTGCCCCCATGACCTTGGCCATGGGTGGGGGTTGGGGGGCCCTCAGCCAGCTTCCAGTCTTTATCTCCTAGTGCTTTCTGGCCAACATTTCCGACCCAGAGGATGACACCAGCCCCAGCTCCTCCTTCCATCTTCTCTCCCAGATCATCTCTAGGTCATGCACAAAGACTTTAGCAAAGCTCTTGCTGGACAAATATGTCAGCCTACAGGGGCTCATGGGTCATTTCTTCCTCCTAGACAGAGCCTGCCTGAGCTTGACTGGTCACAGAATTACCTGGGCATAGGTTATGCAGATACCTTGGCCCAGTCCCATCTACAGAATCAAGGGTCCCCCAGGAGGACTAGGGAACATAGATCTCTAACAAGTGTCTCAGTCATTTGCTTCCTTATCACCCACCAGCCAGAGGGCCCTAAGAGCCCTTTTGTAGTAGAGCACAGGCCCCTGAATTGCTGAGAAAGGGATGCATATCCATGTCAATTGGGATGCCACCAGTCTCCTTGAAAAAGTCAGACTCTGACATCCTCACACTATCCTGATGACAGAGTAATTGGACTACAGAGCAATGTCCTGACCCAAGGGCTCTATGTCCTAGAAGCTCAGGCTTCCTGGTTGTTCAGCAGTTCTGCTCTGTCCTCTGTGACACAGCATGCAGCACAGGGGATGACAACCCTGAGCATGACTCATCCCGACCCAAGGCCACCAAGCCTGGAGACCTGCAGAGGCCTCATTTTCATCTTCCTAGATATTTTCTGGGCTTTCAGAATAATAAACATCTGCATATTCAGAAAGGGTCTTTGGATTTGTACCAGTGACCAGAGCAAGGCCAGTTTCATTGGCCAGAAGCAGAGTTTCAGAGCTACCCAACCTGAGCACACTTGTGGGCATCCTCTGAGGGACCGCTGGGTGGTCACTGGTACCACTGGTGGGTACCACTGGTGGGTACCAGTGGTGGATGCTCACTGTTGCCCCAGGCATGACACTTGTAGATGAGGATAGTTTCTTTTAACATCTATTTTGTACTCTAAATTCTGACATCTCTGGGTTGGAAGGGGCTTTTAAATGTCACCTGGTTTCTTCCTACTGCACCTTGACTGCCCTCCAAGGCACATGCTCCACATCATCCTTGGTGCACGTGGTCTGTACTTGTTGTACATGGGGTGTACTTGGCTGCTTCCAGTGACAGGAACTCACAGCTTCCTTGGGTGGCCCAGTCTTTTCCCAAAAAGTGATTCACAGTGTTCACCCTTAACTGAGCCAAAATCTACCCTCTTGTGTCCACTGCAGTCTGTCATCTAGGGCTACAACATTTGTCCTTTCCCAATAGCAACATTTGGTATCATAAGCAGCCCACCTATTCCACTAAAATTTCTGCCAAAGTTAGAGGTCCCCAGTCCTTCCAACTGCCCCTCCTGGAACCTCATCAGGGGCCATGGGCTCTGCCTCTGAACATGATCCCGTTCATAAACTCCAGGGTGTGGCCCCAGGAGTAAAGGGCACACCCTGGAATTCAAGATCAGGGGGATGACACAGGGTGGGCTCTGAGCTCACACAGATGGGAGGTGGATCCTGGCTCTGCCCTGTGCTGGCTCCATGACGCTGAGCTAACATTCTCTCTCCCTCTCTCTCTCTCTCTCTCTCCCTCCCTCCCTCCCTCCCTCCCTTAGTTTCCTCACCTTTCCATTCAGGCTGGGGTCCTGGTTGCAACTACTCATGTCAAACAACTGCAGAGCTAAGGGAGTAAAACCATCATTTATGATGCTTAGATTCTATAGACAAGAATCCAGCCAGGGCACAGTGCAGATGACTCATTTCTTCCCCCAAAGTCTGAAGACTTTGTAAGGAAGAACTAGGGGTCAGAGTGACCCTAGAGTAGGCATCTGGAATCCCTTGGAACCTCCTTCTCTCCTGTGCTGGGTGCTTCGGTAAGACGGCTGAAACCTGAGGCTGCCCCACACCACCTCTCCAGCATGATGACCTCATGGTGGCGGGACGCCTCATGCAGTAGCCCAGGACACCGTGGTCTTTTGGGGGATGAGGAAGATGTGCATAGCTCTCTGTGAGTCACAAGGCAACTGTTTCCCTATTTCCTGTTGGTCAAGGACATCACAAGCCACTTGAGCTTCAAGGGTAGGGAACACAGAGACCAACCTGTCAATAAGAGAAGGCTCAAAGTATTATAGGTTGCTAAGTTAGACAGAAATTAATAGGCAGTCAGACAGGGGTGGGCCCTCGAGGAAGTCAGCAGAAAAAATAAAGACATCAAAACTGTGGATGGAAGTGCATCTAAAGAAGTCAAGGCCTCAAGATAAAGTCATAAAATGGCCAGACTGACATACTTCCCTAAATGATAAACAGAAACTTGAGACTACATTCCAATTAGTACCACCCGGGCCATTAAGTCCAGATAGGCGTCAGACACCCAGATGGGTGACCAGAAGATCTGGACCCATCCCTTCCCCAAAATGTTCCTGTTTTAGAAGTCATAGATAAGCCAAGGTTAATGATGCTAGCCATATAACCTTGCTATGCACTGCTACCTTATTGGAGTCATATTAGTGAAGGAGCTATACTTGTAATCCTATAGGTTGATTGTAGTTTGATCCACCTTGTACCCACAGTGTGACTTTGCTATGTAAATTACCCCTGACCAAAGGTGTTGGTGGCAACCCACTCAGGACCCCTCCTGTCTCTCAGGAACAATCTTTCATAAACCAAATCTCTCTTAATCTCCACTGTCCCTTGGAATTCATCCTTCAGTTTCAGAGGACATGAACTCTACACACCTGACATCTAACAGGTTAGGAGTTATATTTCTCCCATATCAAAAGAATTGGGGGACCCTGTGTTTTAATCCAACACCAGTGGTACCCAAAATATTTAAGCACTGGGGCACCACAACCCTTCATCCTAATGGCTGCTGTCTGCAGGGACCCCAGGGACCAGGTCTGAGTCTTAGTGCTGGGTGGGTGGGGTCATGGGGCCCAGGGGAGGCTCCCAGGTGGTGGAGGAGAGCAGCTCTGGACCAGTATTTCTTAATCGGCTTGAGCTGCCATAACGAAAGAACACAGATGCTGGACGGCTTCAACAGCACCTGCTTGCTCCTTGAGTCCCTGCGAAGTCTGAGAGCAAAGCACAGTCTACTGCTTTCCCAGGGTGGCTCTGTCCCCGCTCCCACACGGCTGCCTTCCCCATGTGTCCTCACACAGCCTGTCCTACATGCCTGCACCCAGGGATGAAGACAGAGCTCCCTCTCTTCCTTACTAGTGCCATCATGAGAACCCCATCCCCATGACCTCCCCCGGCCCTAATTAGCTGCCAAGGGCAGAGCCACAGTGGGGCCAAGCTTCCCCAAAGTGATGCACATTTCACAGTGAGGGCCTGGGTGTGGCATCTGGTGGAGGCCCTGGGGGAGGATTCTTTTCTCTTCTTTTTAGTTCAGGTCCCACCCTGGACTTCCTCTCAGTGCTGAGTCACAGCTGCTCTCTGCCAATGCTCTTTGGGAAGGACAAGAGGGTTCCTCTGCCCTGCCATCTGGAACCCACTGGTTTGGGGGAATGGGATTCTCTTACAGCTCATCCCAAATAAGCTTCATGTGGCCAACAAGACTGTCCAGGAGATAGTATCTTGTCCAGGATGGGGCTCAGCCTGGGAGACACGATGCTTAGTCATCACCTGAGGAATCAGAATGGACTCTCCTGCCCCAGAAGAGAGCACAGGGATAGGATAGGAACAGGACCCTCTCAGAGGAGGGCATCTTGAGGTTATGGGGCCTCCCTAGAGGTGACCCTAGCTAAGTGTTTTCTCAAATGACTTGTGTTGCCTGGGGCAGGAAGGGGACCTGCCAGGACACTGGGAGCATCCTCAGCAGCCCTAGTTAGCTTCTAGTGGAGTAAACTTTCCTGCACTTCTAATCCAAAAATCACATTCCTGAGGTATTTTTGAAAGTAATGTTTGGGGCTTTTTATTTACATAGGTAAACAAAGGTAATTTGGGGTCTGCTTGGAGTGATTTCAACAAAAGAGAAAAATACAGGAGTCGTGACAGAGTCTCTGGTTGTCCACATGGTAGTCAGGCTCCTGAGCCTCCCCTTTAGCCATCTGTGCACCTCCTTGTCAAATTCAGTTTTAGAAAGGACTCTGCTTCATTGCTTCAGCAAGAACCCCTGCCCTAGATATGTGATCGGGTTCCTCAGCCTCTACCGTCCCTCAGCAATGCCTGGTCACACTGGCTGCCTTCAGCCTGAGTTCTGTTGGATCACTTTAGCCAGAACCCCTGGGCTTTCTTAGCCATCTTCTGCCCACTGACCCTCAATAAATCTGTTTTTCCACTTCCCAACTCTGTGATGAAAACAGTTGCTGTCGTCAGTTGTGGTGGTGGTGGTAGTTGTTTCTTAACCCCATAGAAGACATTACACAATGAACTCTATTCTCAGCTCTTAAGAGCTGGACTTGTTTACTACTACTATCCTGCCAGCAGCCGAACAAGGGCAGAGCGGGTCCCGCACACTGAGTCCTAAGTCTGTTCATGATCGGACATGTGGCTTTCCCCTGAATAGGTTTCTATGAGCTACCAACAGCCTATCACAGACTTTTTGTTAGCAACAAACAATCCTTTACTACACCAAATTACTGCCCTACTGACATCTTGTCTGTTTACAAGTCTCCCTTAGAAAAGCTGTGAACTTCATGAAGGCAAGCATTTTATTTTATTCATTTTTAAATATTTGGTGTTCATTCAGTGGATAGTTTTCAGTGAACAACAACAGCAAAGAGTCCAGAATTGGGGGACAGAAGACCCCACAAAGCAGCGAGTCTGGACTGTCTTCTAAGCTCTCTGATTCTGAGCAGATTCTCTGGGCCTTGGGCTCCCTGTGGAAGGAATCTGCAGCCAAACTTGGTGACTGGAGAGGGATCTAAGGGGAGATGGCAGCAGTGCTCAGTTCCTGTGGCAGCTCCTTGGCCCCAGGCCCTGTTTCTGGCTCTGCCCCTGTACTCCTGTTGGAGCCCCTTGATTAGAGCTTGCTGCCCCATCCACCAGCCTAGTGGGGCATGAGGACTGTGACCAGGACGTGCATACCAGCCCTGGTTTCACACTGCTGGTAGAGTAAGGCTGGAATGTTGGGCTTGGCCTATTTAGCTTTTATCCTTGAGTGGGGGAAGGACTGCCTGCCTGTGGGGTGAGCACTTGGGCACAATCAGGATCCTCTTGGCAAGAAGTGAGGGGTATGGATTTGGGAATGTGACCAACTGTGGCTAAGCATTCTACTTGCTGCCCGGCTAAGCCTGGCTACCTGAGGTGGTCTAGAGAAGGGGAAGCTTGAGCAGTCTGAAGGATGACTCAGGGCTTATCTGGTAAACAGGACTGGCAAGAACATTCTAGACCAAGGGAGGAATGCAGACAGCAGAAGGTATCTGGTCTGTACCAGACCCGCTGAAGGAGTAGTCCATGAATGCCAGCAGAGGTGGGGGAGTCAAAAGAGAAAGATGTCAGTGGCCAGGTTAGGGGGCTCCGGCTGTCGGGCTGAGAAGCTCAGAGGGCTCCCAGTGACAACAGGGATGAGCAGGGAAGTCTCTCGGCTGGGTTTTAGTGAGGTTTCTGGCTGCAGGGTAAACAGTGAACACAGCTAGCTGAGCCCAGCCCTGAAGCCACTGCCACACTCTACCTCAACACATCACCATTTCTCTCTAGTCATCCAGCCTAGCACTTTGTCTCCCTTTGTTAACTCCCTGGGAGGGGCTGGCCTCCATCACTGTCTGTCTGGTCCCAGAATCCTTTCTAAACACTGGGC